GTCGAGATGAGGGCTCGCCAATCCTGCCCAGGGGGGTCTCGAACCCGCGGGCTCAGGCAATCCACTCACCTCAGCCTCCCAAGGCGTGGGATTACAGGCTGAACCACCGAGCCCGGCTAAGATGTTCTCAACTATGTGAATTTCTTTGATAAATCAGGGTTTCAGGTGACCTTTTCTTCCTGAGAGTTTGTGTGTTTCAAGGAATTGACCTATTTCATCTAGGTTGTTGAATTTAACAGCATAAAGTTGTCTAGAGTAGTTCCCTTTTATATTTATACACCTGTAGTGCTTTCACCTCTTCCATTTCCTTATATTAGTAATGTATGCCTTCTCTTTTTTTCTTGATTAATTTAACTAAGATAAATTTTATTGATCTTTTCAAAAGCCATTTTTTGTTACATTTAATTTTTAATTATTTTCTTGTGTTCTATTTCATTTTCTTCTGCCCAGGTTTTAATTATTTTTCTACTTATTTTGATTTAATTTATGCTTTATTTCAAGTTTCTCAAGTTGGAAGCTGAAGTAATCGATTTGAGCTTTCTTGTTACTAATAGAGATGTTTAATATTACAAATGACTCCACAAACAGAGTTTTAGTGGCATTCCACAAATTTTGATATGTTGTATGTTCAGTTTTACTCAAATACTTTCTCCTTTTTATTTATATATCAAAAATGAGTTATTTAAAATGTTATTAATTTCCACATATTTTGGGTTTTTTCCTGATATCTTTCTGTTATTAATTTCTAGTTGAATTCCATTGTTATCAGAAAACAAAACTTTCTATGCTTGAATCCTTTTATTTAGTTTTGCTTTTATGACTCAGAATATGGTTGATTGTTAAATGTGCCACATGCACTGGAAAAACATAAGCATTCTGCAATTGTTGGATTGAATGCTCTGTAAATTTCATTGGGTCAATCTGCTTAACAGTTTGGTTCAAGTCTTCAATAGCTTTACTGGCTTTCTGTGTATACTATCAATTATTGAAAGAAGATGAAATTTTGGCTATAATCATGGATATGTTTTCTTTACACTTCTGTTTTTGCTTCTTGTATTTTGAAGCACTGTTATTAGGTGCACAAGTATTTAGTATTACTATGCCTTCTTAACAATTTGATATCTTATTTATTTATTTATTTTTTGAGTTGGAGTCTCACTCTGTCGCCCAGACTGGAGTGCAGTGGCCGCTCCCGGCCACCGCAGCCGCGACCTGCTGGGCTCCGGCGATCCTTCCGCCTCAGCCTTCCGAGTAGCCAGAATTACAGGCACACGCTACCACGCCCGGCTGATTTTTTGATTTATTGCAGAGATGAGGTCTCGCTGCCCAGGCGGGTCTCGAAGTCGCGGGCTCAGGCAATCCACTCGCCTCAGCCTCCCAAAGGGGCGGGATTACAGGCTGAGCCACCAAGCCCGGCTTGATGATATCTTATTTTTATGAAGTAAATATTATCCCTGTGATATTCTTTGCTCTGAAATCTAATTTGTCTTATAGTAATGTATGACTCCAGTGTTAGATTAAATAAAATTATTTTTTTCATTTTACCTCAGATTGTCGATTGCTAATATATTAGAAATACAACAATCTTATTATAGACACACCTCTATTGAAGTCATAAATTGTTAAAGCTTAAGTAATTTTAGAAATTATCTCACACAACTGTCTCATTTTGCAAATGAATAACCAAGACCTGAGAGGTAAAGTTACTTTTCAACCCCACAGATCTGGTCGTTAGAATTGCCTAGACTTTTTGCCAAGTAGTCTGCTTATTCGAGCCCATATCTTTTGCTTTCCAGGGCAATAAACTTTTCCCTTTAAACCCTGTCACCACTTAGGCCAATAACACAAATTTCAAAAGATGGGATATTTTCTATGAAATAGTTACATTTGGTATACCATCTAACTTTGGTTCACCAACAATTTGGGGTACCTATTTTATTTTCATCTATATTTACCTGAATATAAAACAATTCTGTGGTTTTGGAGTTCATTTAAGGTAAGGAAATTATTCTAGTGTAAAATTATCAGTTAACATTTGAAATAGGACCCCTAAATATTTATTTAAAAGCATTTTTATTAATAAAAATATTTATTGATAACCTAGTTGTGAAATAGATATCTCATTATATGCATTATGATTAATTCATGTTATCTCACTTATTTCTCAAGTACTCATCAAAATTATTCTTATTTTACAAAAGAGAAAACTGAGGATCAGAGTTTGATTAGGTTGTTTGTTAAAAGTGAATCCAGAATTTGAGAGCAGCTCTGTTTTTACCCCAAAGCCACCAAGACAACATTTTCCAAAATTCAGTCTTCTTTGCCACATGTGCATTATCTGCATCATTCTTCATTTTCCACTTAAATTGACAAATATTTTATTTAAATACATTTACTTAAAATATTTTCACTTCCTCCAGTGGAAATCAATATCACTTTCCATAATTACAAGGTAAATTTAAAAGTTAAGTAAAATACTGTTAAATTCAAAGTAAACATTTTACTTGTTGAGGCTCTTTGTTGTGTTATGATTGAAAAGCACAACTAACAAGTCTTAGAAAAAATTAAAAGACACATTTGCACCAAGTTTAACATTCCCCTTTTGTAACTAGGAAGCCCTAAAAAGAATAGAAAAGGGAATTACTTTGTCACGAGGTAATTAATAGTACTTTAATGATCGGTGTAGAACCAGAAACTCATCTCTCAAAGGATGGATGTGTTTCACAGTTAGGGAATCACTAGATAGTAGGCAGGAGAGGCTTGTGCAAAGATAAAGAGGTGTGAGAAAGTGTAAGTATTCTAGAATCCACAGAGGTTAGGAATTAGAGTGGTAGTTAGAAACCTTGCATGGAATCATCACTTTGAGAGTTTAAGATACAGACCAAAAGAATTAGAATACAAGACTTAAGTTGGCATATCTATAAGTTCCCTAAGCAGTTCCAATGCTTAGGAATGTGGAAAACCCCTGAGATAAGATGTCTGTGAGGATGGTAATGGCGGTGATGGTGTGCAGCAGATGGGCCAGAGAAAACCCAGGTACATTGGCAATGGCTGCTCTGAATATGAATAGGTAGAATTTTTTTTTTTAATGTTAAAAAAAAATAGGGCTAGAGTATGAACGGCCTGTCAAGGCAGCTGGATGTCATCTTGAAGAGCTGACAGAGCGCTTGACTCTCCCTTCCATTAAGAACAAGCACTCATGAATTTTCTCCCTCAGATGCTCTTTCGATTTGAAAGCTGTATCGTCTTTTCTTACAATTGCCTTACAATTAAAGGCACTAAATGCATATGTCAAGAATGCAATTATTATAGCATATTTGAAAACTGATCTAAACGACGACCTTTCCCAATACTTTACAATAGACATGTGAAGTATTTTTGAAACCGTTTTCACACAATTGCTGCCTATAAATAGTTCCAGAGAAGAGTTTCGTGACTTTTTAAAGCAGCAACATTTAAAAACATAATCCAATTCAAATTTGCACGTGCAAATAGAATGCACGAAAAGAATCTGAATGCGAATCAATCCCTGTAATTATTTATCCACGGTTTTGATGCCGTCCAAGGACCCACTTGAAATAAAGCATCTTTCCCGTGGGTAGTAAGTGTGCAGCTTGTCCATCTGTGCTTTCTCACTAACCCTGGCCATACTGGGGTCAGGAAGTCTTCATCCGGGAGACGGAAGGACAGACACTCCCAAGCGAACTCTTCAAACTTTCTTAGGGGAAGCGTGGAGCCGGAGAAAGGAGAACTTTAAGCTTTAATCGTAGAAAGAAGAGGCCACGAAGACTGTTTTATGTAAACACAGGTCGAAGAACTCACGGGAAAGCCAATGGCAGGAAGGGGCTTCTTCGGGGTAAGACATTGCAGCCCATCAAGCCAGTCTCCGCACTCCCTCCTCTCCGCAAGACCCACTGTCCGCCCCGCCCTCTCTGCTCCGGCGCTCAGCCAGTGACCGGAGTGGGCGGGGCAGTCTCGGCAGCCTCGCCTCCTCCGCTGCGAGGCACAGGGGCGTTGATTAGCGCCCCGGGACTCCTCCAGGCTCACGGGGCAGCGGCCCCCCTTGGTGTCTCCAGCTCCAGGACGCGGTCGCCCCACCTCCGAGCGGAAAGAGGAGCGTCCAACTTCCTTCGCGCGTGGGTGGGGGGGCGCAGCGGGACCCCCGCCCCCTGCCTCCCCGCGGGACTCGCGGTGAACACCGCACTCTCCCGTGGCCGCCCGTCGCCAGAAACTTCTCGAGAATGGAGCGGTCGCCGTGTGGCGTCC